TTGGTCAAGGTCAACCTCAAAAGGAGGCAGGAGGTGGCGGGGTGAGATAGGGAGTGGGGACAGAGGCAAGAAGAGGGAGACTCCAGACCGTCAGCATCCTAAACTGAGGATAGAAAGAACAAGAACTGCATTCAAACACACACAAAAGATTACCCCCACTCCAATGTCTTTATTTATAGTTTAAACTGTGTTGCAGTACTACTGAAGGCGCATTTGAAAAGTCATCGTATTCTCAGCATTCTAACAAAGGCGTGCTCAGTTCTCCAATTCTCTTGCTGCATTTTTAATTTAGTTTCCATCTTCACTGAGCGTTCCCAATGCCAGACACGGGTACAAAGATAACAAGACAGGCTCTGGTGCCAGAAGTGCTCAAAGACATTCACTTTCTAAGGTGACTCACAGTCACTTCAATTATATACTCTTTTCTTTAAAAGAGTTTCTTAAGCAAGTAATGTCATTTGTTTCAAGTGTACAAGACAACAACAACAAATGTGTAAAACAAATGATAAGAAATTTTCCAAAGCACCAAAAATTCAAATGCGCTCTTGGTTCAAAGTAGAGGAAAAAGAATTTTACAGTTTTTGTGTAAGCCTTATTTAACTTAGATATAATAAAATCAAGTACTACTAAATTTCAGCTTTATAGTTTTGGAACAGCCATATAGCATGGGTGATACTACTTCAGTATACTTCACAGTTAAGAAAGATGAAAGAAAGGCACTATCCAAAGAGAGAGACCAAAATAATTACACATATAGTATATTGTGATCATGTAGGGCTTATAGATTTTAGTGCTAATAATTCTTATTCTTAAGTGAGTTTTAAAATTTCATAAAAAGCCAAGAAAAAACTGCCCTTTTATTTAAAAAGTGGACACCAAAAAGAATAAGACTATAAAAGAATTACATACTCTTCTATTCACTCCAACAGTCAATCATAACCAACACTTTTATGAATTAGCCTGGCCAGTATGGTTCAACAGTTGAGCATCAACCCAGGAGTGAAGAGGTCCCTGGTTCGATTCCTAGTCAGGGCACTTGCCTGGGTTAGGGATCCCCAGTGGGGGCTGTGCAGGATGCAGCTGGTCAATGATGTGCCTCTCCCACTGATGTTTCTATCTTTCTACCCCTCTCCTTTACTCTCTCTCTAAAAATCAATAAAAACATATTTAAAAAAAAAATCTTGTATGAACTTATTTTTGTGACCAAAAGTATAGAAATGATTTAATAAACCAGTGATGAGGTTTTTAAGTAACATAAGCTGTTGATGAATAAATGGTACCATCTGGTTGACAAGCTACCCTTGCAGCCATTCTTGGCAAAGCCTGCTTGACATCAGCCAGCATTCAGGGTCACAGTGTGAACACACTAGCTGATAATGCTATTGTCATTTTACCATTATCACCGAGGCTCCCACTTGTTGGATACACTGTGCGCCTCGCACGGTGTATTTTATAAACGTCACCCCATTTACTGTTTACAGTAACCAGGAGAAGTAGATGTTATTATCTCCATCTGAAGATGATGATGGCAACAAAAGCTACGAACGGGGATTAAACATTTCCATAGTCTACGTAGCAACTCACTCATTTAATGCTCACAGGGCTCCTATGCTATGGGTACTATGTTATCCTGACTTGGTAGGTGAAGAGACTGGGCATACAGCTATCCGAAGGTCCCTTATGTCATATGTGACGGAGTCCCGACGCTGACCCCAGGTCCTCCTAATGCCAAAGCCACATTCTTACCCACCAACCCAAGGAGTCCGTCTCTCCAGCCCTTGTTCCCACCTGTGAGAAGAGCTATAGTAACAGACAGGAAAGGAGCCAGGTCTGGTTTGACCTGAGCTACACCCCACAATCCACAAGGCAACTCATAAATATAGGTGGGACCCTCCCCCCAACTTTCTCTGAAGAACCTCATAATACGGGAACTGATGTCCTGCCTCAGCTGGCCCAAAGGCCAGGGTCTCTAACTGACCAGAGCACAAGGCATCTCAGAAGAAAGAGCCGAGACCGGTTTGGCTCAATGGATAAAGCGTCGGCTTGGGGACTGAAGGGTCCCGGGTTCGATTCCGGTCAAGGGCATGTACCTTGGTTGCGGGCATATCCCCAGTAGGGGGTGTGCAAGAGGCAGCTGATCGATGACTCTCTCTCATCGATGTTTCTAACTCTCTATCTCTCTCCCTTCCTCTCTGTACAAAATCAATAAAATATATATATATTGGGTCGGCAGCTAAGTAATTGCGGATTTTTAAAAGAAAATCGAAGACAATTTTTTCATGGAACTAAATAACTTTATTCTGTAATGTATTGCCCATTTTGATCAATGACCTTTTGCCATCTTTCAGGCAGCATCATAATCCCACGTTCAAAAAACTTCTGGTTTTTATTAGCAAAAAACTGAATCAGGTACGATTTGACATCATCATCATTATTGAAATTTTTACCATTCAAGGAGTTTTGTAAAGATCGAAACAAAAAGTAATCAGATGGTGCAAGGTCAGGACTATATGGTGGATGTGGCAAAACATCCCAACCAAGCTCCATTAATTTTTGCCGAGTGACCAAAGATGTGTGTGGCCTTGCATTGTCATGATGGAATACAACACCTTTTCGATTTGTCAATTCGGGCCGCTTTTCTTCAACTGCATTGTTTAATTTCGTTAGTTGTTCAATGTAGACATCAGAATTGATCGTTCGGTTGGGTGGTAAGAGTTCAAAGTAGACAATTTTTTTGTAATCCCACCAAACTGATAACAAAACCTTCTTTTGATGAATATCAGCTTTTGATGTTGTTTGAGTTGGTTCACCTGGCCTGCTCCACGATCTTTTCCGCTTGATATTGTTGTAAACAACCCATTTTTCATCGCCAGTTATCAGTCGTTTTAAAAATGGATCATTTTCATTACGTTTCTTTAGCAAATCGCAGCTGCTAATGCGTTGCGTTAACTGTGATTCTTTCAGTTCGTGAGGAACCCATGTATCGAGTTTTTGAACATAGCCAAGTTGTTTTAAGTGATTTTCAATGCATGTATGTGATACATGAAGCTTCTCTGCAATCTCACGTGTTGTACTGTGACAGTCCGAATTGATTATTGCTTTGATTAGGGCGTCATCAACTTCAACTGGACGACCAGAGCGTTTTCCATCTTTGAGTGAAAAATCACCAGAACGAAATTTGGCAAACCAATTTTGACATTGCCGTTCTTTTAAGGCTTCGTCACCATAAACAGCACATAACTTTTTATGAGCTTGCGATGCGTTTTTCCCTTTGCGGAAATAAAAAAGCAAAATATGACGAAAATGTTCCTTTTGATTTTCCATTTTTCAACGAACACCAAACGAAAAGTACAAAACAGATCAAAAAACTTTTTTTACTGATTAACAGCTGAATAGCCAACTATCAAATAACAAAATGTGTTTTACATTTGTACTACGTCTGCAAACCTAAAAATTCAACTGAAGCCATATATGTGTGAAACCCGCAATTACTTAGCTGCCGACCCAATATATATTAAAAAAAAAGAAGAAGAAAGAGCCTCAGTCTGGACAGATGCCGTAAGTCCATTCAAAGGTCATCAGCCGCTTAGTTACGCTGACCCACTATGTGCCTGACCACACTAGGCTGTCGGTTCTGAGCAGCTGAAAGTGTGAAGAAACGAACACCTGGGTACATGGTGGGATAAGGGCTGCTGGGATCACGGCACACGGTTTTTGGATAGAGTGGGGAGTACCACGTGGGGGCAGGGGGTCAACTCTGAGGGTGTGTGAAGAGGTTAACAAAGGCTACGGGAAAAGGCACCATGGCAAGAAGAAGCTATCCCATTAGGAGGAAGAAAACTGAGCAAGCTGTCCAGCGGCTCACAGTTGTCAACTTAAGGAGAGACGGAGACACTACAAAATCAGGAAACTGGTATCTCAAGAGCCATCTGGAGCAGATGCACTACACCAGGGGTTCCCCTGAGGGAGACATTCCCCACTCCCACAAAGCACCAGGATAATGGTGCTGGCATACTGGGCAACACCAGAGTCCAGCTCTCCATGGAATACTGGGAAGACAAATGCACTGGTCATGTCACAGCAGGGAAGCAGCAGCTCAGCTACTAAGTGACTACAAACACAGCAACACGAACCCGGCACACGAGAACTCCAGTGGTCCCCGACTCACAGAAACAGCCATTTCGGTTAGCAATGGCCAAGAAGAACAAGAAAGAAATAAGGTGCAAAGAGGTAGCAGGAATTACAAAACCACCTTTACCGCAGATACTTTTGCCCACTGAGTTGAGGCACTTATTACAGACTGAGCGCCTTTATTGACAACATTAGCATATGCATAGAGAGGAAAATAATTAACATGTGTAGTCCAATTTAATCAGTTTTTCCTCAGGGGAGTGGCTTTAATGTCCATAGTCACATGTGATGGTACAGACCGGTACCATTTCATCCTTTTGAAACATATGTATTATGTCAGTGATTGGGAAAAGAAATATACCAGGTCTCACACCACATGAGAATACTGACAATTTCACGGGCCAACAGACAGAAGTCTGCTCCTGCTTTACTCATCCCCATGAGTGATCCCGATTCTAAAGGTCCAAACTGGGGAGGTCAAATATCCACAGAATTCGAAGGAAAAGCCACTGCCAGCAAACACCCAGGCAACCTCAGAGAAGGTCAGGAGAAGTGCAGGGGTCTCAGGGCCAAGAGGACAGTGGAACAGTGACCAGCTCAGGACAGACTCCACAAATGGCTGAGAATGAATACATGGGAGGAAGGAGGAGAAGGGAGGGAGCGGGGAGGAGAGAAGAGTAAGGCTGACAAAGAGGAGGCAGGAGAATGGAGACAGGAGAAGGGGCAGGAGGGAGGAAAGGGAAGGGAAATAAGAAATGGTGGGGCAATGGGAGAAGAAACACCTAAATCCTGTCAACAAATAGAAGGTTGTGTCTATGATTATCAGAGTTATTCATGAATTTAACAATATATTTTGAACATGTAATTACCATTTATTTTCCTCTCGGGCCTCAGAGAAATGAACAGGATAGGTGTCCAATTGGGGATTTCTAAAAGAAAAGGATATGGAACACAAGTTACCCTGGAGAATAAAAGTGATTAGTGTTTAACAAAAAGATAGAGAGACAGTAAAGCAATAAACAGACTGTCAAATTACAGAGGGAAGGGGAGGGAGATATGGGGGAGATAAGAGATCAACCCAAGGACTTGTTTGCATGCATATAAGCATGACCAGTGGACGCAACACTCTGGGGAGGGAGGGCATGTATGGGAGGTTGGGGGGGTGGGCAATGGTAAGATATGTACACATATAATACCTTAATAAAAAATGGAAAAAAATAAATAAAAATAAAGTATCATTAAAAAGAAACTGATCTGCCCCAGCCAGGTGGCTCAGCAGGTTGGAGCGTTGTCCCAGTGCCCCTAAAGGTTGCAGTTCAACTCCCAGTCAGGGCAAATACCTAGATTGTGGGTTTGAATTTCGGTCAGGATACACACCAGAGGGAACTGATTAATGTTTCTCTCTCTCTCTCCCTTCCTTTCTCCCTAAAAAAAAATCAATAAGAACATATCCTTTGGTGAGGATTTAAAAGGAAAATAAAGAAACATTTTCACTGAATAACAAAGAGTACATTTCCTCATCTACCTGAGAAAAGATTGGGTTCAAATCTTCTTTCTAACACACAGCTGCTCTTACAAACTCTAAATTGATTCTAGAAGGAAAAAACAAAACAAATCAACTACAGGATAGGCTGTGCCTTTAATGGAAAACAAACCGAAGGAGGCTGTGCAGTGCCATTAGCCTGAGCCCCCCTCGGGGCCTCCCACCAGGCCCGACACAACATCCCCAACACAACTTGTCACAAATCCCGCAGGAAAGGATCTAGCCTTCTCACAAACAACCGCAAACTGGGGAGGAAAACAGATACCTTACATTTCAGAAACTTTGTTCATGCTTGCAAGGGAGTAAAATATTGCAAAGCAGCATTTTATCTTGTCCTCCAAATGCAGTTCCAGTCCCTACGTGAGCTCACAGACACGCGCTTCCTTCTCCTGGAGCGGGGACAGCCCTTGGAGGCAGCGCTGCACCCACTTTTGAGCAGAGGTTATTCCATTGCTAAGAAAGGAACAGGTAACATGGACCGGGCGCGTACTCAGACCCAGAAATAACATGACTCCGTTTTAAAAAGGGGGACAGTCATGTCCCTAAGGTCTTCTGACGCCTATTTTTTGTGTCTTTTTTCCTTTCATTTTCATCTGTATTGGGATATGCTTCAATAAATCATGAAAGCGATTGTTATCGGTACATCTGGCCACTCCAATGAAAATAGCATTGGCCTGCGGACTGAAGGGTCCCGGGTTTGATTCCGGTCAGGGGAATGTGCCTTGGTTGAGGGCACAACCCCGGTCGGGGGTGTGCAGGAGGCAGCTGGTTGATGTTTCTCTCTCATTGATGTTTCTGGCTCTCTATCTCTCTTCCTTCCTCTGTATAAAAAAAATCAATAAAAAATATATATATTTCTAAAAACTTTAAAAAAAAAAAAAGAAAGAAAATAGCATGGTGGAAAATGGAGCAGACTTCTCCACTCGCATCTGCTTTCGGCATGCCATCAGGCCAACATCTACATCTTTGTCTACAGAAAAGTGGGGGCTCACAGACAGGGATCAAAAGTGCTCTGAGTATAACAGATACACTTTTTTTTTAAATGAGATTTACTCTATTTTGTATGATTATAGAAGAAACCCATATTTTCAAATATTTTAAGGAGGTGCTTGGGACTTCAACAGATGATGGTGAAGAACCCTTCATCAAGGTGGACGCCACCTCCCATCCTCCTCTTACTTTTGGAGCGATGTGTAATGAACGATTTGCCAGATGTTTATTAGTAAGCCTGCAAATCTTGACCCAGATTTTGTTTGGCTTCATAAATAAATATAAATAAATAAATAAATAAATACATGGCTGGCAATGTCTATTGAAATAACAACTCAGATGGATACTTCCCCCTCTCACATTTAAAACGTTCAAATTCATCTATTTTTATCTGTCCCATTACCCAGCAATGTTCAACAAGAACAAAAAGTAAAAAATGAATACTAGATTAAAAAAGAATATAGACTCCAAGTTTATGGCTCTTTTTGATTGCTTACTGCCTATAATTTAAGATTTTATTTTCTTTGTCTGCTAAAATGCATGGGATCCCAGGAATTAAAAAGAATAAAGCTGTATACATTTAATATAATGTTAGAGAAATTTTAACCGAAAATATCTTTGGGCCCAATTAAATTGATTGTGACACATAATAACAAAGTAAAAACATTTTATATTTTATTACTTTGCAACCAATATTGTTGTTGTTTTTGTCCTAAATATCGTATCAAAAATTCCTTTTCAAATTTATCATTATTTTTGCCTTTTCTTCTCACATTTTTTGAAGAGAGAAAATACCAGCTGAACTCCTACTCTAATGATTCAGAGAGAGAAGGCTCACACAAGTATGACTGGCATGGGGAAAAATACCACCTGTGAAGAACATCAAAGTTGCCATATGACATCACAACCATCCTAATAAAGACAACTGTGAAGCTAAGGGATTGTACAGTCATCTGCTCCTGTCCACTCATTTCACAGCAGAGGAAATGAAAGATCAGAGTGGTCAAGTGACCTCTCCAAAGTCACACAGCAAAAGTGGTCCTAGAACTCAGATTTCCTAGGTGGCAATCCAGTCCTCCATTAGATCATAACACATTTTTTTTATTCCCATAAATAAGTTAAGAGCTTATCATTTAATCTCTGTCTATACATCTATTATTCTACACAGCATGAACACAAGTCAATTTAACTTTATGTTAATCAAAACACGAATAATGTCCAAGAACATACTCTGCCTTTCATTCCACTGATAAAGCCAGATTAAACAATGAGTGAAAAATCTGAAATGAAATTTGAAACACTCTTAAGGTTGTTTAACCTAGACACATCTGTTCTCAAAATAGAATTTTCCTTTCTTATTCATAGCCAAATCATAATCATAGCTTTGTTACAATACAGTTTCAAGTAGATTTCATAGATAGCTATCAGGTAAAATGTAGATGTTTTACAGTCAAAGCTTAGATAAGCAGATTTTAGTAAGAATTTCAAGATAATATACTATTAGATCCATCAGTTCAGATAGAATTCTTACCCTCTACAACTCTGGAATCATTCAAGAGCACTTAAGTTGCATAGGTTAGCAGCTTATTATCAATAGTCATTTCTTTATTCCCCAGTTATTTGCTTTACAGTGCTAGTTGCAAGGGAACCAATAAATGTGTGATCACTTGCCTGCCTACTGTAGATTGATGACATAAGATAATTAAGGAGGCTTTCATGAAACAAGGTTTGCAAGCCATCAATGTACATGTTCAAATATGTGTTAGAAGGGTAGTGAGTGAATTCCCATGTGCTTTTCCCAGAGAATAAGAGTTGACAGACTTAGTAAAGAGTGTATGTTGGGAAGCAGGGTAAAGTAAATTAAAATAGGCCAACAGATAACAAAAGAACCCTTCTATGCCTGCCCCAAAGAACAAAAATATCCATCGCAAGGGATTCTTTTCTTAAAAATATGTCAGCCACAAAATACCTTCTTTATATTTCTTCATATAAACGGAGTAATTATATTAAAATTCAGTGCCAAACAACTCCACTGGGGAGGGGGAAAAAAGACAAGCTTTAAACACACTTTCAACAAAGAAAATGAACAAATGTCAAGTAAGCACAAGAAGAGATCTTCAACGTAATTAGTCAGTAGGGAAATGCAAAATAATGCCTTGATGAGACATCATGATACACTCGCTAGAATGGCTACATCTAAAAGGCAAATATACCAAGCGTTTACAAGAATGTGGAGCAACTGAGATTCTTATACAACGCTGGTGAAAAATTCAGCATGTTACAGGCACTAAGACAAATAATTTGGCAGTTCCTTATCAGATTAAACACCTACCATGTGACCAGCAATTCCAGTCCTAGGTATTTACCCTCCATGATACAGTGGGACTACAGGACTCTTACTATCACTTCAGCTGTTTGAAGATACACACTGTCCTTATGCTCACCAAGCACATGGGACACAACACTGTGTTTTGATTTTCAAGAGATGAATCTGTTTAGCAATGCTGAGGTCTGGGGTTGCCCTGCAAGGTGAGAAGAATAATTGGAGTTTCCTTCAAGGGCTTTCCTGAGCAGGTGGCAATGATTTCAGGCCAACAAATCTCTACTTCATCGTTCTCTTTAAAAAGCTATTCAACTCATTAATAAGCCAGGGTACCAACATCAACCCTGATATTTTCTGCTATCCTACAAAACCTAAGCATAGAGTTAATAAAATGTAATACAATCTACTGGGCACTTTAAAAAAAAAAAAAAAAACAACAACAGGTAAACATAGGCTTTATGAAGACATCATGTTATTGCATTTTTTATTGTGGTAAAATACATATAGCATAAAATTGACCATTTTAGCCATTTTTCTAAGTGCACAGTTCGGTGGTATTAAGCACTTTCACACTGTTGTCCAACTACCATCACCAGACACATCCAGAACTCTTTTCACCTTGCAAAACTGAAATTCTGGACCCATAAACACACCTCTTTCTTCCCTTCTCCCTTCAGCCTCTAGCAACCAGCATTCTACGTTCTGTCTCTGTGAGTCTGACTACGTTAAGTGCATCCTTTGAAGGGGATTATACAGTATTTGTCCTTCTATGACTGGCTCGTTTCACCCAGCAGTATGTCCTCAGGGTTCACCCAAGTGTAGCATATGTCTTCTTACTTCTCATGTCACAGAAGAATGACATGTAGAGCCAGGGCGTCTCCCCAGTGAGGCCTGCTGAACAGACAGGCAGAATGTAAGTCACTGTGTTCATGAAAGCAGGATCCACAGGGACCAGCATCAACAGCACCACAGAGCGTTGCTCAGGGCTCCCTCCTTTCTGAGCAGCACCCCTGAAACCTTCAGTGCCGGCCCCCAGCAAGTAAGCAAGTGGAGTCTGTGCACCAGGACTCCCC